ATAAAATTCAGTTTATGTTATATAAAATATATAATTATTATATTAAATATACTAAATTTTGTGGAAATTTTAGCTAAATTAAATACTTTTACATATAAAAAAGTTAGAAAAATGAATAAATTTGAAGATGAAGCGATGCAAAACATTAAAATTAATGCCTGGAGATATATATTTTTTTAATTTTTAAATGATTTTTCTGGCATTTTTCGACGTATTATCTGCTGTTAATATCACTTCTTATGATATTTATATAGAACAATTTAGGATTTTTATTGATCATTAAATGCAGATGCTCTATAGGGTTTATCATCTGTCATTGTCAAAGGTGAGATTATGAGCCATATCAAGAAGCGTGTACAACACAAAATACCTGATTGGGATTTAGTTCTACTTAATCTTTTTTTCTGATATTTTTATTGATAAACAATAAGACAGAAGAACATTATTATGATCATAATATTTTATCCTGACGAAACTTTGTTATCCTGAAAGAAATATGAAGATAACAAAGTTTTTTTTCTTTATCAAAGGCTTACAAAGAATACTTCTTTATGAAATGATACAAAAATAGAATTAATTTCCTCTCTCGCTCGTCATCAAAACTTGGTATTTAGTTTTATAATCTCTACTTTAAAAAATAATAATCATTGCAACTTAATTGCACGACAAATTTCTTCGAAGAGGAGCGAAGTTCAGAATATTCTTTCTTAAGATAATTTACAATTTTAACGTGGAAATATTTTAATTTTTTTTTATTAAAAAGTTACATTTTATCTATATTTATCAATCTATAGCGATTTTTATACTGATAAACTAACTCGTTTTGAGTATTTTTAGATTTTATGCAATAGTTTAATTGGCGTATCGAGGCGTAATATCCATTTTAAGGTCACCTGGTTACAAATTCTTAATAAAATAAGTAACCACGTGATTAGAATTGTACATTAAAATTGTTGTAGAAGATTATAATCGACTTTAATGGCCATTAACATAACTTAAATTATCCATTTTTTAAAATTATTTCTTGTTAAATTTACAGCTTAAATTGGCATTTTATTATTATTATTAATAATAATAAAAATTAGCTCAAATTGGCTATAAAATTTAATAAAAAAAATTCAAATTTATATAAATTACAATTGTTAAATAATTTAAAATTAAAAATAACTAATTAATTAATACAGAAATAAAGTATATAAAACATGTTAGAAACACGCGGAAAAAATATTTATAAAAATATTTGATAGAAATATTCAAAATTTTTTTAAAAATAATTTAAAATCTTTAATTAATTTAAGTACTTTCGTTAAAAATTATAAAAAAAAATTCGCTAATTTTAATTATTTCTCTGCGTTATGAAAACTTTAAAGGATAAGATGATTTAAGATCTAAATTTTAACTTTTTATTAAAATATATATTTATGTAAATAGTCTTTTGTTAGTTAAGAAGGGCAATATAAAGAAAATGAAAGCAGATAAAGGACTACTTAGCATTCTATTCAATAGCATGAATAGGAGAATCAAGTTCAACTTCGCATCAAAGCAACCACATCTAAATCCTTGTACAAATCTATTATTTCTAATTTAAATATTTAATAGTTTTAAATTTATTTCTATTAAGTAAATCCTAATCCAATAATTCTTTACAAGTTTCTTTATATATTTTAAATATCTTATTAAGTTTTCGAATGAAATTGGAATTAATCTTCCGCATCCTTTCATCTGATAAATCATAAGGGTCCTCTTAACTAATAATTAAATTTAACTGATTAGCTTATAATTTTATGATTTTTGGGATAATAAATAATTAATAATCTTATGAATTTTAATAATTTATCTATCGGAATTACGAGTAAAAGTGGAATTTTATGTTCACAAAGTCTGTATATCTATTATTTAAATATAGATTCAACGAACTTAGAATTAATAAAATATTCACTGTTTCAGTATGAAAACTGAATGATGAGAAGCAATTACTTCGAAAATAATGGCAGATTTTCTTGGAATGTTCGATAGAATTGAATCATTTATCGAGATTGACCTATAGATAATTTAATGTGCATCTTTGAATTTAAATTTTAAGGATAAACTGGAAAATCTGATTGAAACTGAAGCAATTTTTCTTAAATTTACCATATGTAGACCATTAATCTTCTCGTTTTAACCCGAGAAATCCGATAATAATCCATATTTTGAAAGAAGTTACGTTAATGGAAATGATTTTTCTTGATATTAATAGCATATAAATTATAAACTTCTTACTTTTCATACTAAATACTAACTGAAATTAAGTTTATAATTTGATTACTTACTATAATATTATTTAAATACTAATTTATATAAATTTTTAAGAAAATTTCAAGAAAACCAATTGATTTTTTAGAAATTCATGATGAACTAGTTCAAGAGGATGCTGAAAAGTTTGCTACCTATTTTATAACTAGAGAATCCTTGTCGATAACTTTATCCAGTTCGTGATTTATGATGATTATCTGGTTGAAAACATATTATATATGTAAAAAAATATGTATTTTTAGATTTATTCCTGTATTTTACTCCTAAAAATTTATCATTTTTCGAAATTAGTTAAGAAAGTTTCGCTTTTCGAATATTAACATTCAGTATATCATTTTTAATCAAAAAACTTGCACGTAGTATTTAAATAAACGATCTGTTTTCAACTTTACTACCTCAAGCATTTACTATTCATTAACCAAAACAAGAAAGCAAACCAAAATGGCGTCAAATCGAACTAAGATTCAGCAATTCAACGAAGAAACACATCGTAGAGAGTTGCAAGGTTGGCGAGTGGTAAGAGAAAGAATCACGTAAAGCTGTAATTTGAATATAATAATGGTACCACCCTCTCACGCATGATATAAGCCACGTTTCTATTTCGAAAAACACACACACACAAAAAGTGGATATCTTCGAAGACATATCACACGAAATGTATTTGAATGTGGAGGTTAGAAAAGAAGCTAACAAGTGGAGGTGGAGGATGGAGATTTCCTTCAAGAAAATAATCGATTCTGATGAAGACAAGGTCGCAGACACCGCATAGATCGATGGCTTCAGACATAGGTCTATCTAAAAGGGGGGTTTCCACTTACTGGAATAGCCGTCATTTTCTCGAACGTCATTTTTCTGCTGAATTGTCCTCTCGTACTGAAGTACTTTCTCGTATGACAGGTGAATTCTTCTTTATAATCTCCAACTCATTCTTTCTATACAGAATCAATTTACTTCCTACAACTTTTTATCGGTTCAGTAACTAGAAATTATATTCTTTTTTTTTTTAATATTTAAGAATGTTCTAGTTCATCCGCATCATTGGAAATTTATTCATATTTTTCCTCTGCAGATCCTTGCGAAGGTGTGGAATGTCCAGCATCTCAGGTGTGTCAATTAGACGAAAATCGTAATCCCATATGCCGCTGTAACGCTATCTGTTCACCAGATTTTAGACCAGTTTGCGGTTCCGATGGCAAAACTTACACAAATGAGTGCTCTCTTAGAGTGGAGGCTTGCAAATCACGTAGAAGTTTAAGGATCATATATACCGGAGAATGCAGTTCTGGTAAGTTTAAATTATTCATAACTATAGAGTTACCATTCTTATATAGTTTAAACAGTAATTTTTTAAAATAAATTATTCATAATTTAATATTCTGAAGCGGGAAAGTATATATGTGTGTTCTTTATTTAACCTTAATAAATGTTGCATACGGTATAGATGAAAACGTTCCCGTATGAAGTATCCATTATTCAAAAATCCCTCTTGACCCACCAAAACACGAAAACAAATTTTAGACAAGATCAATTCGTCATTTCCTCTTAGACTCGACCAGTTCTGTTGTCCTCACTAATCCAATCACACCTTTTCCTCCTGTGGATAACGGATACAACCTACGCGTGATACCTCACGGGAAATCAGTGACGGACATTACTGGTTTCCATGACAACGTACAATGTTCAACCGGGGACATATGTCACATAACATATCTATAATTGAATGTTACTTCTAACTCCAAGCTTTCATTATCCTCTGTGGGTGATGTTGTAACTTGGAGTTATAAAACAGTCCCAAAAATGAAGTTGGAGATGAGAACATTAATTAAATTATTACGTTAATTATCGAAGATATTCATAGATATCAAAATTAATAAATTGATACCATTCGTATCGAATTATTAACCATAAATAACGCGTCACGACGTTATCGTTCCACTTAATATACTCGTAAAGTATGGCACTAAAATCGATTTGTAATTAACAAACAGGTGCCAACCCGTGCGAGAATCTTCAATGTGGACCCGGACAAGAGTGTGATATTGATAGATACGGTATAGCCACCTGTCAATGTCCCGGTGCTTGCGAACCAGTTATGAGACCAGTTTGTGGGACAGACGAACGGACGTACGACAGTCAATGCGAGTTGAGACGTCAAGCGTGTATCAGGAAACAGGACGTGTTAGTTGCGTACAGAGGAGAATGTGGTAAGGATCTTTTATCTAATTTTCTAATGAATAAACTAGTGATGAATGCGGTTACACCCGATGGTTGAGTGCAGAAAAGTCTGAACTGTTTTGTGCTTGGTAAAAGTGATGAACATAATATATTTGGAGAAATCAATAGAAAAAAAGTGGGAGAAACACTTCTATAGGAGGAAACCTCGTCCATTTCTGACACCAACGTGTAACACCTCTGTAATTACAAGACGTCCCTGATAACAATATCCCTGGAGGCAATCACTTGGAGAAGAGCCAACTCTCTTACAAACTTCTGATCATTTACAAATTTTGTAATCCGTCAATATAAATAAATGTAGCGAGGGAGGGAAGAAAGAAACAAATTTCACTCGTTTTTAATTTAAAATATTACATTTTTAACTTTCTAAACAGCGAAAAACTTATTTTAATGTCTCTCTCGTTCTACGTATCTGATAGGAGATGATCATTACAGGTATAAAGGGTCCTTGTAGTAACGTACGGTGTGAATTCGGTGCCATGTGCGTCATCAAGGGTGAGGAACCTGTTTGCGAATGTGCCACGTGTTCTGGAGAATTCCAACCCGTTTGCGGATCCGACGGGATATCTTATAACAATGAATGCAAACTGAAACGAGAAGCCTGCGAACAGAAAACCCAAATTTCAATCAATTATCACGGGCTCTGTAGTGAGTATCTACGAGTAAATTATGTTTCGGCAAAAAAAGTATGTTGTAAATATATGTTTAAAGATGACTTTTTATTGGCTAGACGGGTGTGAAAATAAAAAATGCGAGTTTTATGCAGTGTGCGAGAGCGATGGTCAAGGAGAAGCTAAGTGCATCTGTCCTCAATTCTGTGCAAAAGTAAGTAAAATAAAGCAATTATTCAGTTAGTGACGATAAAAACGACAGTTTTCTATCATAAAAAATTCAATAAAATCACCCTAAAATTATAATATATCTAAAAAAATCCGAATGATTCCGTCGAAAATAAATTTATTCACTTAGAATATATTACGATGCTAAAAACCCAAACTAGATAATGCGATAATGCAAATAAAATCAGTTAAATCTGTTATTTTTCTTTTTATTGATTACATTTTAAAGCAAATGAGGCAAATAGTTGACACCTGTTCGACAGGGAAAAAAGATATTTATCAATAGAAAAGTATCATTTAGATTCTCCTGTGCTTAAATTCGAGGCTTGACAAATAAAAATTCTTGATTTTGAGCTTCCTCTAACCTTTAATGGTGTTGTTTTCTTTATAGATGGATTCACCCGTTTGTGGTACTGATGGTGTCACATACAGCAATGAATGCGAAATGAGAGTGTCAGCTTGTAAAAAGCAACAGTACGTCATGGTTGCTTCCAAAGGAGCTTGTGGTGAGAATCTCTCTCTCTCTCTCTTCTTCATCCTTTACGCAGCATCCCTGCGGATTGTAAAACGTGTTCTTTGCAGATTTATGCTTGAACGTGCATTGTAAATACGGTGCCAGATGCGAGAATGGTAACTGCGTGTGTCCTACTGATTGTCCAAATTTATACGAACCGGTTTGTTCCAACGATGGTACAACTTATTCTTCTGAATGCGAGATGAGGAAAGCATCCTGTCAAGAAACTCAAGAACTTCGAGTGCTTTTTTATGGTGAATGCGAAGATATTGGTGGATCTTCTGGTGTTGGTGAGTTGGCATTTTGACTAAATTTTCTAAAAAATCCGCAAATAATTATTTTTGGAATAATTTATTTTGCTGTAAAAACAAAAGTCATTTATTTTGCTCTTGCTTATCTTCTTTATAATTGGTGTATATTTTGTTTATTTATAAATTTTATACAATAAAATATTGTGAAAATAGTATGTAATTTGTACAATCAAAAATCTTGCACGTAGAATTTAAATAAACGATCTGTTTTCAACTTTACTACCTCAAGCATTTACTATTCATTAACCAAAACAAGAAAGCAAACCAAAATGGCGTCAAATCGAACTAAGATTCAGCAATTCAACGAAGAAACACATCGTAGAGAGTTGCAAGGTTGGCGAGTGGTAAGAGAAAGAATCACGTAAAGCTGTAATTTGAATATAATAATGGTACCACCCTCTCACGCATGATATAAGCCACGTTTCTATTTCGAAAAACACACACACACAAAAAGTAGATATCTTCGAAGACATATCACACGAAATGTATTTGAATGTGGAGGTTAGAAAAGAAGCTAANACAAATATATTAATATATTTTATGTTTTTTATTCTTTTGTTTTTTATTTTTACTTTTCCTTCTTGTCCTTTTCCTTTCTTCTTCCTCTTCTTCTTCTTCCTTTTCCTTTCTTCTTCCTCTTCTTCTTCTTCCTTTTCCTTTTCTTGCTTCTTCCTTATCGCTCTCTTTCGCTTCGTTTACTTCTCTCCTTCCTTATTCCTTCTCGTTTTTTCTCCCTTTTTTCTTCACGTATCTGTTGTTTTTCCTCTTCATCTTTCTTCTCGTTCTTTTTCTTCCTTTGTTTATTTTTTCACTTCTTCCTCGTACACATCTTTCTTTTTGCTTTCTTTCACTTCTTCCTTCATTTCTGGTTTCACTTCTTCCTCTTCATCCTTCTCATTTCTTTTCACTTCTTCCTCCCCATCTCCATTCTTAAACTTATTTCTCATCATCTTTTTCCCCCTTTCTTTTCTTCTCCCTCTTCTTTTTCGTCTCAAAAATTTTTAACAAAATTATCACAAAAATAAATCATTTTAAGCAAATTTTTTGAAATCAAAAAATATATAATTAATTTACATAAATTTTACTCCTTATCTACAATTATTTTTTATAAAAACACAAAAACTATATCTAAACAACTAATGACGTTAATATATATTTTTAAAAGATGTTTACATAATTGAATAGATTTGTTGTTTTTTTAGGAAATTTGTTTATTTATATTCGAGAAAATAAACATTTTCTTTTATGAGATTATATTTTAAAATGTTATCAAAAGAAAAAGATTTCGCGAAAATATTTACCTTTTTATTATTTACTTTTATTTTTCTATTTTTTTATTTAATATTTTCCAAAAATTCCACTCGACAATATCAGAGCATTCACAGTTGATGACATCTTTCATGTTGTGTGTGTTTTTTTGAATTTTCCATAATTTACGATCTTTGAAATATTTTTGTCTGTTGCTTCGCTATGAGAAAATAATGTAATTACCCTTTTCTATTGTTAAACAAATAACAAAAATGATTTTTCTCTACTTTTGTATACAAAATATTCTTCAGAATTAATTTTTATTCTTACTTCTCTTCTCCATCTCTCCTTCTTCTTCTCCTCCTCCTCCTCATCTCCTTCTTCTCCTTCTTCCTTCTTCAACTCCAATTAATATAATTATTACAAGAGTTTTTTAGAAACAAATATCGAGTTTTTAAATTTTAATCACCTCTTTTCCATTCGTTTATAATAAATATTCCTTTGTCCTTTTTTTGTCTTGTAAACTTTAATTATTTGTGACGCGTATCGATCCTTTTCGATAGTTTTGGAAATTTTCTAAAAATGAACTTAAAGTTTATTTATTTTTTGAAGATTTTGGTTCGGGTGTGAAGAATTGCGATGAAAAAGTCTGTAGTCACGGTGGATCATGCGATTACGATAATGATGGACAACCTTATTGCGCTTGTCACTTTCAATGTCCTTCCGTTCGAGAACCCATATGTGGATCCGATGGTAAATTATACAACAATGACTGCAAATTACGAGAAGAAGCTTGCAAGGAACAGAAACAGATCAAACCTGTTTCTTTGGATAGATGCGAAGGTATCTTACTCACTTCCTCTTATTTTTCTCTTTTAGTTCCTTTTAATGTTTCCGTTATTCTTTCTCTAATCATTTCTTACTTTCTTTCTCTTTGTGTGTTTTTTGACTTTCTCCTTACTTTTTATTTCTTTTTTACTCTTGTTATTCCTTCCTTATATGCATTAATGCTTCCTTTTTATTCTTTGTTTCTTTTTAAAGCTTTCTTTTATTCTTCTATTCCTGTTATTCCTCCAAGTTAATATTCTTAATTCTTTGTTCTTCTTCTATTTCTGTTGTTACTCTCAGTTAATTTTCCTTTCTTCTAAATTCTTTGTTCCTCTCCTGTTTCTGTTATTCCTTCTATAACATTTGTTTTTATTTTCTGTTCCCTTCCTTTCTTTCTTGCTTTCCTATTCTCCTTTCCTACTAGTTTATAAGTGCATTTTTCTCTTCTTCCTTCTCTCCTGTATCGATTAATAAAAAAGTAACGTGTATAAAAATTAAATAATTGATCATTTTAGATCATCAAGTACTGCCTTGCGATGGAGAGAAGCCTTTAGTCAATCCCTTAACAGGTAAAGATTATAATTGCGGGGATGGAATCGATTCCAATACGTGTCCACCGAGTAGTTACTGTCACAAAACACCCTCTTTCGCTAAGTGCTGCCGTGAAGGTAAATTATTTTCCGTTTTCTTTTCATCATTTTCTCTTGTTTGTCCGAAGTAAACCGATGAAAATTTTGCAGTATTGGTGATTAAGAATTGTGCTGATTCCGCTTACGGATGTTGTCCGGATGGAGTGACCTCTGCACAAGGAGAAAATCACGCAGGATGTCCAAGTTGGTCTAAGGTTTTAATTTCTACGTCTGACGTTCTGTATACATACATGTATACTTAATTTACACTTAAAATTTAGGTGTTTGTAACTGTAACCGGTTGGGAGCTTACGAACAGAGTTGCGATCCCTCTAGTAAGCAGTGTCCTTGTAAACCAGGAGTGGGTGGTCTTCGATGCGATAGATGCGAACCGGGTTTTTGGGGTCTTCACAAAATAGCAGACGGAAATAGCGGCTGTACACGTGAGTTTCTTAACTCCTCGTCTAGATAACACAAGCGTAACAAATTACTTTTTCTGATGTCTTATTGTTTACAGCATGCGCTTGCGATCCGAACGGTTCTGTAAGAGACGATTGCGAACAGATGACGGGGAGGTGCGTGTGCAAGAGCAACGTACAGGGCATGAAGTGCGACATATGTCCACCCAATACGGAATTAGGACCGGAAGGTTGCACCGACGGTACGTAATCTTTATTACTCATCCATTGGTACTACTAGATTTCTTCCATTGTTCTCTAAGATCACGTATGGTTTATAGGTTCTATATCGAGACCGGTGGCGGGAACGTGCGATAAACTGACCTGCCACCACGGTGCCACGTGCAGGGAGAAAGATGGTCGCGTACAATGTATCTGTGACTTTCACTGCGCTCCGGAAGAAAGTCGAAATCCTGTTTGTGGTTCCGATGGTAACACCTATGGGTCGGAATGTCAATTGAAGCTGTTCGGTTGTCGCTACCAGAAGCTAATCAATCTTCGTAACTATGGCCCTTGCAAGAGAGGCAAGTCTCCTATCATTTTTCACGTGATCCAGATGCATGCTGATTATCTTCTATCCGTAATATTTATTTCTTATTATACTTTAATGATTTTATAAATTAATTAGACCGATTCATTTATTTAATCGTGCTTTATCTTTGACTTTACGATGATACTTTTCGCGATATTGTTTATGAAATCGCGTGAAATATGACGCGAGTTTAAGAAATATATCGCGCGAAATTGCAAGCATATTTAAAAGATATATCGATAGAAATATTTTCAATATTTAGAGGATATAGCGCGTGAAATTTATGTATTTAATTAATATATTGCGCATGTTTAAGAGATATAATCGCGTGAAATATCCGCGTGTTTGATAAACATACTACGCGAAATATCTCGCTTATCTAACAGATGTATCAAGCGAAATACTCGAAGATTTATCGCGGAATATATCTTTCTTATTAAGCAGATATATCGGAAGAAAATTCGCCGTATTTAATAACATAATGCGAAAAATATCTCGCTTATTTGACAGATATATAAAGTAAAATATTCGAAATAATCTCCATATTTAAGAGATATATTGCACGAAACATTAAACTTATTCATCAGATATATCGCATGAAATATTTTACATATTTAAGGGATATATCGCACATATTTAGGAAACATATTGCACGAAATATCTCGTATATTTAAGAGATATATCGCGTGTTTAATGTGTCTTCACAATTAACGAAATTCCTGTAGGAGGAAGGATTTGTTTTTTTTTGGAGGAGATCCTCTTGATTATCTTTTTGAATAATCATTGATCAAGTATCGAATTCGGACTATAAATCAAGTAGAGAATATGCTTGAAAGTCAGCAGGGAGTTTATTAGTCATGTTTAGTTTAACGATTTAATCAACTAACGGCCAGTTAACCGCACGTTCTAGTATTATTCACGTTTGTAATTAGGGACATGTTTTGTGACAAGAAGACAAGAGAGAAACATGTAACAACAACGTCGACTCTCAAAATTTTATGACTGTCATTAATTGGCCATTACTCCCAACGAAATGGCTTGTATTGTTATATTTAAGTGATCATTGGAAGCAGGAGGATCCTTTCCTGTTTCTTTTGTCTCCTATAGGATATTTTATTATCCTGATGAATATTTGAAATGTTTAGTGCGTATGTATGTCTATCTGACCAACTTTACAAAATTTTAAATCATTCCAGGGGTGGAATTTAATGACGAAAATCCAGGTTAGAATCGTTTGTCACGTTCTAAATTTATCTTCCTTATCCTGAATCTTTAATGCTTTTCATCATCTTCTGGATACACTCGGAGGAATTCTTGGCGATTTCATTAAATTTTATTGAATATTTTATATCTAAATTAATAATTTTAAATTAAAAATAACTCAGGAAACGTGTCCAATAGTTAAATATATAATTAATCATATTAATACCTCTGTAACGTGACAAATTAATGGTGTTTCTAGTTGTTAGATGTACACGTTGGATTTTAAACAGTTTTATGTTATTATCTATAAAAAAAATAGATAAATAAGTAAGTTACATCCTTTATAATTTGTAAAATCTCATTAATAATTCTGGAATCATGTATATATCTGTATATACGTTTAATGATGTTGTATCTACGTATGTTAATCCACCAAACGGAGCGAAACGTTGAACTTTACTTGCATTTCACGAATTTTATAGTTGTCAAATATATCACTGTTGAAAATATTACATTATTTACTGATTAATAATTAAAGTTAGAAGAGTAATTCGTATTAATTATGTTTATTAGGATATATAATTAAACCAGAAATGATGGATGTTGCGAGAGATTCATAGAAATTTGGAAGATGCTAATTCTATAGTTTACGTAGATGATAACTAAGTTAATTATAGTTTGTTTGTTTAGATACCGGTGTAACTCCTACATCTATACCGGTTCGAAGGTCAACAATTAATAAAATAGCTGCAGAGGAAACTAAATCGACTCGTGATCTTCCTCTTAGCTTACCTGAGAATCTCTATCTTAGTACACGACCTACTATAGCATCTCCTACTCGTAATAGTAAGTTTATATGTGTGTGTGTATATATATATATAGAAAGAGAGGATATTAAAAAAACGTGATGGAAGACGTGAAATTTCGAAATTTGTTTCAGACGAACCACTCGAAGTCCCTGCATTTTCTGGGAATTCTTATATAGAGATGCACCGCCTGCAGGCCTACACTCGACTATCTCTAGAACTAGAATTTCGCACGTTTTCGAACAATGGTATCCTGTTATATAACGGTCAAACATCTACGGGGGCTGGAGATTTCGTATCTCTAGCTGTCAAAGATGGATACGTAGAATTTAGGTAACTCTACGCCAATATACAATCATCTCCTTGCGCGATTTACGTATGATATAATTCTTAAACAATTACAGATACAATTTAGGAAGTGGACCTGTAATTTTAAGGTCCTCTCAACGTTTACAAGCGGGTCGTTTTCATCGTTTAGTTGCTAAAAGATACTTAAGAGACGGGATGCTGACATTGGACGGACAAGAAGATGTAGCTGGAAAGAGTGATGGAAACTTAAAATCGTTAGATCTCGGAGAGAATCTGTTTCTTGGTTATGTTCCTTCAGAAAATAAAGGGTACAGCTTCATAAAATTTCTAAATTTCGTGAAATTTAATTAAGTCTTGAAGAAGATTCCTTATTTTACAGCGTATTTGAGAATATTGGCGTGTCTATGGGGCTGGTTGGATGTATACGACGACTTAGAGTAGGTAGGAAGGAGATGAATCTCGCTTATCCTTTCTCCAAAGACATTATTAAAGCGAATGGAGTCGGTAAGATCATCAAACGATCTTATATTTTAAAATTACAATTTATATTTCATGAAATTTTATTAAATTTTTAGACGAATGCGCCAATAGTCCCTGTAGCAGTCTACCGTGTCAGAATGGAGCAACGTGCATCGTCAATGAAAATGCACACTATAAATGTATATGCCAAGCGGGTTATACAGGTAACTACCAAAACAAAATTATATTTTTATCATTTAAACCGTAAAAAAGACGTTAGTGGCTATCAGCAAAATATGATTCAGCATGGAAGAAACAATAGAATAATGTCTATCTTTGTGATTTTCAATGACAAGTTATGCTCTTTTCTATACCAAGTTTGTCCGAATAACAATTCTTCTGACGTTATCACGAATTCAGGACATTAATGGTAAAGCGTGTCACATAACAAAAGACATATTCTTCTTCCTCTTCTTTTTTTTTTCTAGGTAAAGAATGCGAATATCCCTTAGATTCCTGCACAAGCAATCCATGCAGCGAAGGATCGACTTGTTTAGTATTACCTCAAGGAGGATTCATCTGTAGATGCTCCGTAGGCAAAACTGGTCCTTTATGCGACGAAAGTAAATATATTAAATTATAAATAATAATAAAAAATCTGTTCGTAAATTTAATTTTTTATTTGCATTTTTCATATTTCTCAACTGAGATTAATAAAGTATTTTTATAGTGAATATGGAAATCTATAACGTTTTCGTACCGGATTTCAACGGTCACGCATATCTAGAAATACCAACTTTGCAAAATGTTGGTCAAGCTTTCACTTTGGAAATATGGTTCCTGACTAGATCGAAAGATGGTATGATTCTATATAACGGCCAACTTTCGTCTGGAAGAGGAGATTTTATATCTGTTAATTTAATCAACGGTTACGTGGAATTTCGTTACGATCTTGGAAGTGGAATTGCAAACATATCGTGAGTATTTTACATGAATATTTTGAATATTTTACTTTTATTATATACAATTTCAAGCATTTTTAATTCTACAATTTTTAATTTTATTAAATGTAATTAGTTTATCATGTAAATTTAATAAATTAAATTAGTAAAATTCGATTTTTTTATCGCACAAATCGTATCTTTATTTTTAAAAAACCGTATGAAAAGTGATACTGAAGAGCAGCGATGCTGGAGATAATTCTACGTATTTTTAATGTTAAAATTATTAAATATCTTATAAAATTTAAGCAATTCCAACGATTTTCTTCGATTTATATAGGAGTTCCATACCAGTTACATTAAATAAATGGCACGTATTGAAAATTACTAGAGTAAGAAGAAGAGGAACCATCCAATTAGACGATAGTCCGGTTGTTACAGGAGAATCTAAAGTAAAGAAATTTTTATTTTTTTTTATTTTGATGATTTCTATTGGAAAAATACGATTTATATATTTAATTATTTATATATTTGTACAGGCTCCTTTAAGTGAATTAAATTTAGAACAACCACTTAACATAGGAGGGTTTAATCCACTCGGAAAATTGAATAAAGATTCGGGTATCCAGAAATCCTTTGATGGTGCTATTCAGAGGTTGATAGTCAATGGAGAAGTTTGGGATGATTTACCCTCTAAAGCTATCCGATCCGTTGCTATTCGAAAATATCGTGGTCCTCCTTGTGAAAAGAGTCTCTGCCATCACGGGGGTGTCTGTATACCTCAATTGAACGACTACATATGCAAATGTCCTATGAAGTATACTGGAAAATACTGTGAAAAAAGTATGATTTATTAAATTACATACTATTTTTAAGCTAAATATTACGCTTCGATTACTTTCAGAGCAATTATTAAGCTTTCTACTCGTTAATTATGTTTAAATTTAATGTTGTTATTAAGAATATTTATATTTTTAATGTATATAATTAATGTTAAATTGGCGATTGTAGATTTTTGATGCGATTTCGATCGCTTGTTTGGATTTTTCTTACATCCTTCACCGGAGTATCTTGTTGAAATATCAAAATATCTTCGATTCACGAACCTAAAATTTTGTTAATGTTATCATGTACACAAAATTACTTTATTTTAGTTTATTTTGACCGCAAAAATTGATTATTAATCACATTTCGAATCATGTTTTGTCTGGAAAAAATTATATTTTAATTCACTCCTTCACACAAACTGCTTTTTAAAATACTTTTTTGATGAAGGTAATTCATTTATATATGTTAATTGTATACAAAAATTATTTTTAAAATCGATGTTTTGTTACAAAAATTGTTTTTTTTTGTCATACTTTTCCCACAAAACCTTTAATTTTGGCCACGAAATTATTATATTACGGCACAATTCTATTCGCAGTAAACTACTTTATAACCAAATATGGCATAGACATTTAATTTTCTACGTGGAATATATTTAAACTCCCCAATGTATACCCAAAAAATACACACTTTAAATCATTTTTCATAAAAAAGATTACCTTAATTGACTGTAATCTTCTATATAGATGTCGATAAAGACGAGATAAAACGATCGGTAGCATTTGATGGCTCAACTTTCCTCAGTTATCCAAACAAGATAGTAAGGAGGTAAGTTATGCACGTGGATAATGAACCATACTCTTAACAACTTTACTCTGTGCCGATAATAATTATTGACACGGCTTTCAAACTAAATAAAATGTTGTAAATGTTCGCGACTCTCTTTACTTTCAACATTTTAATGGCTAATAACTACAATGCTAACAATAAACCCTTGGACTCTAAGTTTTACCTGATTAGATTTTTATCTTACTCATCACGAACTTTGCTATATCTAACTTTTATAGTGCTATAATTTACAAATAACATTTTCGCTTGTTGTCTGTAATTGCAGAGGTGAAATGAGTGAAGAATCGACAGAAACTGGGTAAGATCTTCCTAATGATCCTCGCTCTTCTGCATGGTTTCTCTAGATTATTTTAATGTTTTAATTAAAATTTTATTAAATAATCGAATGTATAAGATTAAATATTCCATTTTCTAACTATATAATGCTTTTATTTTAATAATTTCATTAAAATAGTCACGTTTAGAAGTGATGTTGTAGAGCAAACTCTCATCTCTTCTCCGATGATGCTCCATAATTAAATAATGTATACATTATAGAAAAACTTAATCGATTTTTACAAAATTGTCTTAAAATATTTTTAAAAAATAATGCATTCTTAAACAAAATGTTTTTAAAATATTCAAATTAGTGAATTTTATTAAAAGATTATGTGAAAATTCTAACTTTTGGGGTAATAATTGAAACTTAGATAAGCTTTTCTTACGGATTTTTTAAAACTAAATCGTGTTTTTTGAATTCTAAGAAAGTAATAAATTAACCGAAGTTTTAATATAATGATTTTCTAGAGTGGACGGACAGAGCGAAAATAGGTTCGAAGTGAAATTTCGAACGAAGAGAGATAATGGTTTGATTCTGTGGACTAACAAAGGGATGACGACCAGAGGCGATTATCTAGCATTGGCCATTATTGATGGTTACGTCGAACTTAGTTACAATTTGGGGAAGCAAAAGGAACCACTGGTCATCAGAAATCCATCGAAGGTCAATGATGGTAAATGGCACGTTGCTAAAGTTGAAAGGTACAAAAAATACTGCTTCTAATTCGCTTTCTTCTTGAGTATTTTTAAAGTATTTTTTGAATAAAATCAGTCGATTTTTTTTCAAAAATACATTATTAACATTTTGTTATAGTTTACGGAAGAATTTATTACATTTTTAAAGTATATTTTTGGGCATTAATTTTCTTTAATTTTTAATTTTTGGTCACACAAATTGCTTCATTTTCACACTTTTAGGGACTTAAATTACGTTTAAAATGGATTTTTGGTTACTAAATTACATTTTAGCAGATTCTTTGTTATAAAATTAATTTCTAAGCACATTTTTTTAGACAGTAGAATTATCAACATATTTTTGGGCATTAAACTTACTCCAGAACGCATAAATGGGCATTAGATTATCTTACAAATACATTTTTTATGGCATAAAGCAAATTTATAATCACAATTTTCTATAATATAATTATTTTATTCACATTTTGGGCATTGGATTACATTTATTTTCGGGCACTAAATTGCCTCATTAATTCATCTTTTATCACCAAAAAAGAAACAAAAATTTATAAAGCACTTTCAAGCACAAAATAACATTTATACAAAACATTATGACACGAAAAAATTATTTTATTATATAATTTTTTTAGATAAAATAATAAATTCCTCGGAATAAAAATGAATTTTTTTTCTTTTTGATATTTTTCGGAATGCAAACAGAATTAAATCGCATAATTTCTAATAATTTTGTATACAAATCTGGAAGTCGTATCGTGTGCATAAAAGTGCAAAATTTCAAATTAAATTGAATAAAAAAAAATAATCAAAAGAGGTAATTTATTTGACGAAATTCAACAAAATGAAAATTCGTTTTTTTAGATAAAAATCATCAAAATAAATGTACGAATGAAACTAAGCGGAAAGAAAGAACAGGAAAATGAAAATAAACAATTCCTAAAATTCGTTAAATAATAATAATAAATAAAAAAAATAATAATGGATCGGGATTTTTAGAAGATTATTTAATTAATTTTTGTAAGATTAATGGATATTTTATTATTTTTTTTTTAGGAAGAAAAGATTAGGAACTTTGAGAATAAATGGTAAACACGCGGCTACAAACATATCAGAACCAGGAGCTACAGAGCTAAACACCGATGGAATCATTTGGATAGGTAATTTTTTTTTTAATTTTTACTTAAAAATAAATTTAAATTTCTAAAAAAATATTTCTTTTAAAAAAATAATATTTTTTCTAACGAATTCTGTGCCAATAAACGAAGTGTTACATTCAATTTTTTTGATGATAAATTTCTAAAAAATATTCTAAAAAATTTAATCTTAAAAAATTGTTGGGATGCAATTTGAAAAAATTGTAGACCTATAAATTCTCACTGTCGTTTGTCTGTTCGTCCGTCTGTCCTTCGATAATCTCTAGAACGGTATCTCTAGAACGATCTCTAGATAGATGAAAGTCGAGACCAAATATAGAAATCTTAGGAGCAGGAAGCACAAACTGAAAGTGAAGTTGTTTCAATTTAAAGCTTTTCCCCTGAAAGCAGTTAATAGATGACCGACACGACTCTATTGTTATTGTTAAAAGAAAAGTATGATGTACAGGGGCAAGTCATTACTAATTTGAGGTGGAGAGCATATATTTTAAATTAAATAAATGAAAAATATAATTAAAAATCGCAGCTTGGCATTGTGACCATGTCATAATAAGTAATTGCTCGTTGAAAATCAATTAGAATTTTAAAAAATGTCTAACATTTCTTTGCTAAAGTTTATGCGAATAAACGGAGTATATATGAATTAATTTCAGATTATCTGAGAAACGATTGACTAAATCTAAAAAAAATCTTCAAAAAATCATAAAAATTCGATTATAATTTCTAAAAAATTCATATAAAAAGACTAAGCTTCTTCAATAAATTCTCTAGGCGAATTTATAATATGATCTTCAGTTTTGATTATCGAAAAAAGCATTGAATATTTCACAAAATTGTAAAAAATTTCTTGTGAATTTTTCTAAAAAGACCAATTTATCTAATAAATTTATTTTATCGCTCCTTATAAAAATTCCCCTTTTTAATAATTAAGAATAAATGAAGCATATTATTCATCTTTTGATTCTCAAAAAAAACCAAGCGGTTATATAAAAATTAATTAAAATTTCTTGAAAACTTTTCTAAAAAAGCAAATTACTTTTTTAAAGAGAAATTCTAATGAATTTTATACGCGAATAAACGAAGTGTACGGGCCCACAACTTAATTTTTGATATTAAAAATAATTATAAAAATAATTTCTAAAAAATTTCTAAAAAAATCGAATTTTTTCAATAATTCTGTCTACTGATGATTCGTTTTTTTTAAAAAAAGCATTGAAATAAATTTTAAAAATATTTAAAAAACCGATTAGAGCTTGTAAAAAAATAATATTTTCTAGTAAATTTTTGACAGGGAATAAAATAAAATAATTATTTGGACATCAAAAAGTGTAAAGTAGATTTAAAAAAAGCCTCTAAGAAGCATTAAAAATGATCTTAAATCAAATAAATATATAAAATATATTTTAGTTTTTAAATTTATAAATGAAAAACTTGTAAAATATAATAAACAATTTTTTTTAATTTAATTTTTAGAGGTCAAAAAACTTTATTAAAAGTAAATAAATGTATAAAATAAAAGATAGGAAATTGCGAAAAGAAAGGAAAATATTTATTTTCCTTCAAAAAAAGAAATAATAATAAAAGACGAAAGAACTTTGAAAAAAATCAAAAAGAGAAAAAAGTTAAGACGTTAAAACATTAAATTTCTTTGCATTTTTAGATAAAAGTCATTTCTAATCCTTCCATTAGCAGCAAGCAATTTGGATACAGAAGAATTAGTTCCATTCTTTAAAAAGTCAATGAACTTTTTTTTCTATGTTTTCAGGTGGATCTAACAAACTCCCTTCTGGTCTACCCGAAAAATATTATTATGGATTCACGGGATGCGTGGATTACGTTACAATCGATGGAGATCCATTACACTTGGCATTGCATGGATCGTCGGAAGTATATTTCTGTCCAGAATCTTGACGTGTGATGAGATTCATCCATTGATTCAATTGGGCCGTGCTGGGCGCGGCTCCCATCGCTACCATAGGAGCGTACAATTCAAAAAAAAAAAATCAGTGCCAATTCTTCCAAAAAATTAGGAAAAAATTATATCAGAACTCTAGTTAAAGAGGATTCTCCATAAGGTACCCAAAATGGAGGAAATTCGAAGCAAAATTCTTCCAAAAACAAAAAAACCAAGTGAACTATGAACTATGTTCGGCCCTTCTTTTGTTGCTAGCTAACTTCAAAAAAAAAACCATCATCCGCTATCGAAGGAGCGTGTTTTTTCTACTAACTCTATTGCTGCAGGAGAAACTCATGTTCTACGTTGTACAGTATTGTATTGTTATATAAATTTTTATTATTATGAAATGAAATTTACTTTTTTTTAGTTGTAAATTATTCAAAAAAATACCTAAAAAATTCCGTAATTGAAGCCAGTGACGAATTATCTTATGGGCAAAAAAGGGCAATTACATGGGACCCCGACAAACAGGGGGCCGTTTATAAGAAAATATTTTTCTCAAAAAATTCCTTCGGAGAAAAAATGTCTGAAGTCAACACTGTACGTGAGGCCCTCTAATTCAAATTTGCGTGGAATCCATGATGCTATAACGCGCCACTGATTGAAGCGCTGTATAAACGCGAATTTAACCCCGAAAATTCGTAGAAAATCATTTAAAAGTCAAAATTTTTCAATAAAATACTTAAAATCCCTATAATTTAGGCTATAAACATATTTTTACTTACATTAATTCGTATAAAATCGTTAAAAAATAGGAATTTTTTAGTAGTAAATTCGTTCGTTCTTCAAAGAAATTTCCAAAAAACTCATAAAAGTGTCTTCACAATTCTTATTAACCATAACTTAAATTACACAAAAATCTGGTCAGATTTTTTTTTGAAAATTTCCAAAAAAAATATTATTTAAACTTAAAATATAAAAGTACACGTTATGAGTTTTTTAGATATTTTAAAACTGGTTTTAAATTAACGAAAATCTCCAATTTTATATTATAAAAATTAAGAAAAAAAATAAATTGTTAATGATATAATATCGATTTTTAGTTTTTTTAGGAGTAAATTGATGTAGACACTAATCTTATAAAGATTTAACCAAAAAAATTAGAATAAACTCCAAAAAATCCCTTAAAACATTTAAAGCTAATAGTTGGGATCTAGAAATCAAAAAGACTCTAAAAAACAGAATGACTAATGATAAGTTTTTGCTCTAAAAATCCCTAAAAATCCTGTAAAATATGGAATAGCAAAAGCTAATATTTGGGGACTAAAAATCCTAAAAATCCTTTAAAAATTTCTAAAAAATCATTTAAAAAAATGAAATATCTAAAATTAATTTTATATATATTATTTCTAGAGCTTCAGACGTTAATTTTTTAGAGGTTTTTAGAGATTTTTGAGCTTTAAAACGATAAGAATCTTGTCAGAAGTCGCTGTTTTTCCTTCAAAAAAACCTCTAAAAATCACTAAAGCATCTAACAACTGAAGTAGATGAAGCTAGTGATTGAACTCTAAAACAAACCAAAATCATTCTAAAACACTAATCATAGAAAAATAAATATTTAAAAGTCGAATATTTTAAAATTAAATTGTATTTCTTTAATTGTATTAAAAGTAACGATAACTGAATTAAAGAAACAATGGCGATTGTAATTAAAACTCTGAAAAGATACGTCTTGGGACTAATATTAATTAAATGCAACCATCGAAAAATATCATTATTACAAAGATTAAACCAAAATTAAAGATGGTAAATACTAAGATCTTGATAAAGAATAAATTCGGTTTCATTAGAACATTGTTTAATTTAATTATCTTTGCACAGCTTCCGAGAAGGAGGAGGAGGAGGAAGATTATCTTTTCTCATGCTCGAATATAGCGGATATCTCGTATTTAAATCATTTTTTATCAAAAAAATCCTTACTAAATCTTATTAATTTTGTAATTTAAAAAAATTTAAACTATATTTTAATTTTTTAGATGGAAATTTAGTTAAAAAGCTTTATATATACATATATAATTTTATTAATTATCTTAACGCTATTTTGTTGAATTTATCGTGTTTTTTAGATTTAATTTATTAATTTTATTATCTTAAATATTAGAATAGCAATTAAAACAGTTTAAATTATCGAATAAACTTTTTAAATTGCATTTTTTTTTAAATTTTAATTTAGTTAAATTCGAGTTTTATAAGGACCCTTTTAGTTTGAAGCACACTGTAACAACACCATGCATTAACATGCTAACTAAAATATAAATATTATAATTATAATTTAAGAAATTTAATTATAGAAATATATTTAGAATTCTATAGATTTTGAGCTCCAAAAATGCTCTAAAAAATCCTTTAAAAATGTAAGATCTAAAGCTATTGCTTAAGCTCTAAAAATCTAAAAACCACTAAAGCTTCCAAGAAAATGGAATGGTCTAAAACTAAAAAATAAACCTTACAGAAAGCTGTAAATTTTAATAAATCTTAAAAAATTTATCTAAACATTATATGTATATAAATATATAGCATATGTTTATTGATATGTAAATTAATTTAGAGTTAATGTAGTAACGGGAGTTTAAACATTTTTTAGAGAATAATGTATATAAAATAGATAAAATATATATATATATACATATAAATTTGTTGCAGCAGATGTTTAAGTTATAAATTTTATCATTTATAACTTTAAAAAATAATCTTAAAAATTTCTTCGATTACACTTTTATCTAAAGCAAGAAAAGTTTAAACGATAAACACTTTTGTATATATCGAACGTACAGTGCAATATCATTTTTTAGAATTTAACAATAAGAAAAATATATGACAGAGATTGTAAAAAATATATTTAAGTTTGATTTTTTAAGATAAATAAAAGATTTTTATAAAACAATGGGCAATGAATATTTTTTTGATTTATTGTTTGCTATATGTGGAGCTTTAAGATGGTATCCTATAGGATGACATAAGGAAGCGCTGAAGTGTGTCTATCGTAGACAAACATCTTAGCCAATAACTTGGCTCGGTGGTGTTGACCAGAGCTGCTAAAGTGGACAGATCATATCACTCCCAAAGGCGAATAAGCAAAGATAAACTACAGAACCTCCTCCGTGTTGGATAGGTTATTTATCTGTTTCCTTTATGAGCTAGTTTGAGATTGGAAAATCTGCACTTTATACGAGTGGTATAAGGAAAAAAAAGAATCAATAATTTGCAAAGGAATCTAAAACTTGCTTAGAATTTAGGTCACATCAATAAAACTCATACTTTTTACCTGCTTCACACACTCCTCCAATCGTACATGATGCATCCGGATGTTGATCTTGAGCATCCCCCGCATCACTTCTGCTTTTTTTAAAAAAGCATCCGAGTTATTAAAATATGAAGAATTGTATAATTTAAGAAGAAAGTTAAAAGATTCTTTTTTAAAAATCTCATTTAAACACTTTCAAATTTAATATATTCTAAATTTTAAACAAAAGGTTAAATATGCATATCAAAAGTAACGTCCAGGAAAAGAATATAATATATACCTGTAAAAGAGTGTTTAAAATGAAAAATTTGTATTTTAATTTTATAAAAATTTGTTTTATTAAATTCTTGAAAATTTTCGAATATTTTAAATACAATTATAATATAAATTTTTTAAAATTATTGCAGATATTCGTAATTATTTGCGTGTTTAGTTACCGTTAAAGTTGGCTTCACTGCATAACGCCCTTAACTACCATTCAAAATTTGATTAGATCCATTAAAATATAGTCGAATACTAAAGTATAGTTGTTGGAAATTTGTTTGCCATTCGAGAAATTTTCGAACTTTTCTTAATTAAGACGAGAAAGGTATAATTACTTTTACTTGCGATACGTAAAAGTCCACACCCATCCTCATCAGTAAGAGAAGAGATTTCTAATGGAAATTGGCAGAAATCAATGAATTCTACCGAATTATTTTATATTAAATTCACTAAAGATACTGTTTAAACATCGATATAATTATAATTTACATATTAATGAGAATTATTTAACATAACATCAAGTCTATTAATGTATTTAAATCATTATATCTTCTCTCTAATATGTTAATTTATAGTTTAAGCAACGTCTCTAAGGTAAAGATACTATTAAAAGTTTATAAAATAATAATTAATTTTGCTTAATTTTATGTATTTAACTGCGAAATCAAATCGTGCAATTCCCAAAAAGACTAACTTGAAACGTATTGTAATTTTGTAGCGCATCTCCCTCTTATGGGACATCTTGGATGCTGTGACAAGTTCGTGACTTGTACTGGGATGTTGTAATTAGCTACATCTGCCAAAGGAACAATGTGTTCATCATTGGTAATACGATTACAAGTCGCTTAGGCCAATGGAGATTTCTAGATCAGTGTAACATGGACGGTTAAGCTAATGCACTCTGCACTCATAAACAGCAAACCAATGGTAGGATTAACACGACAATTCGCCACAACACAACGTTTTCTAACTAACCGAACAACTCTATCTTGATACAAACACCAATTAAAGCCGAAGTTTTTTCTTCTGAAAACACACAATCGTTCTATTTTCTTAAATTATAATTAGAAAATTAAATAATATGCCTGTTAAACCGATGCATTCATTCGTAAGTGGAGAAGCCATGGTAGGGATTAAATAGATTAATTTGCCACAATGTACCATTTCTTAGATATGTATATTTTTTTACTATAGAAATCGATTTGATGTCCAATTTTTTCTTCTGAAGACATAAAAATGATATTAATTTTGGTAGATTTAAAAAATAATTACATTTAGAAAATCGTATAACAACTTAAATTACAACTACTTCATCTAAAAATACAAATAGTATCATTCTTCTTTGATTTTTTTAAAAATAACTTTTAGAAAAATTAAAGAATTCATGTTAATTATATACGACAACTCACCTCAATTATCAATTATTTTTACACCGTTGTATTTTTAGAATATAGACATTATGAACTAAAAACAATTTTATATACAAAAAATTTATGACATTCTCTTTTATTATTCAAAATAATTTCTAGAAAACCTAAAATTTCTACAACAGTTAAGCTCTTACTCATACACAACAAACTAATAAATCACCGTCTTCAAGTTATATTTACGCTCTAAATATTAACCTAAACTACAATTACCGTATGTAAAAACTACAAAATTAGCACCACACTTCTTTATTTTTTCAGAAAAATAACTTGCAGATGGTCTAAAATTTCTAGTAACAGTTGAACTCTTACTCATAGACAACAAACAATATCAGATTAATACGATAATTTACCAACCCCAAATTATGAAATTCTGTGTAAAAATCAACTCAAATTTATAGATATTTAACCT